ACCTTCAGCCGGAGCCCCTGGACCTGGCCCAACAGACATGATGGCTTTTAAATATAATACAGTTTGTGTACAGTAGCTGTGAGGAAAGTTCTTTTATTTTGAAAAGAGAAGACTAATAAAAAGATATATATTTCGCTATGTGAAATTTATTGTGCATTAACGTATCAAAATAAGCATGTGCACATGGATCCTCACTGTTTAGGATAAACATAAAAGACTGGCTTCAACTTGCCGGTATACAATATTTGTATGAAAAGATGTTACTATCTGATTGGTCCAAAACTGTTGGGGAGAAGTCGTGGTTTAAACTCAACTCTCCCGATATTGGTCCTTCAGTCCGTTTGTCCTCCAATCGTCCTCTCTGCTCCAATGGTCGTGGACAGTGCCCTAAAAGGGGAGGATTACCTATACCGTCTTAATTCTACATAGACACTTATGTCTTTCTATGTAGTGTATAATTTTGCTTTCTGTCCACAAAATGAATAATAATGGCATGTTTCTTGTTTTTATGTTTTCTGAGGAGGGGATATACCTCTACTGTCAAACAGATCACCTGTTGTTTTAGAGAGTTTAATTCAGGCTCAGTGGGTGAATATAACCAGCTAATGTTTTGTCTGATAGCATTGGCTCCTCATTTTCCGAGCTATTGCCTCAAACACTTGCATCACCATAGCACCTTCTTCAGTGTTTCTGAGGCCTTCCTCTTGGGAGACTTGTGGATGACAGGATTAATCTGACTATTATGGATTAATCATCATTCACAGGATTGTAATTACAGATTAATCCGATGATTATTTTCTCCATAAACTGATTGGTTTGTGCTCTAAAGCTGCCAGACACATTTTTATTGCCCAATTGGAGAGTAAATTACGTAATGGTGCTACGGTATGTGAATTCATTTTCCTAATAGAGGGAGAGTATTCTTTTTTTCTGGGCTGGTCTGTTAAACTCAGATCTGTCCAGGGACCTTTCTCTCTTCTCTTCTTCTCAACGTGATCTCCAGAGGTGTTGACTGGCTGTCGGGACATTTGGGAACACTCCTGGTGGGCCAATCTGCTTTTCTCCCAAATCACCTAGACATTATACAGCCTATATATTATATTAGGGCTGAACGATTTGGAAAAATAATCTAAGTACATTTTTTTTAGAAATATTGTGGCTATATTATTCCCTGGAATTAAGCTTTATTGTAAATGACACAAGGAAGACAAACCCAACATGAGGGTTGGGTAACAAGGTAATTTTCACAGCCTCCTCATATATTTTTTAATCACAATCTAAAAGTAAATCTCATGAAAATGAAAACTGTCTCTATAAAGTCATTGCACTTTTAGGGTAATTTTTATAGTAGGAATATTGCATTATTTTTAAGTACTTGTATTGTTTCTCCGAGTTGGCAAATGCTCAAATGTAGGTTCCCGTATTTGTACTCGGTCTGAAAAAAACACTGGTATTGGTGCATCCCTAGGTAAAACACATGCAGCACATGCTGCTAGTCAGGCAGAACACAGCAGAAACACAGAAAACTATTCCTTTCTCACCATTTTGTTCTACTTTTGTTCTCAGATTGATGATAAGGAGTTTGACATTCCCCAAGTGGACACACCTCCCACACTGGAGAGCATCCTCAGTGAGGTCAAGTATATGTTAATCTTTGACTACCACAGTATATTGTATTATACTGCATTGCATACTGTCAGCGGTATAAAAAGTTTTTTACATGTAATTTTAATCCACTTTGAGAAGCTGCTCCTCTTCTCTTGTACATTTTATACTGCATGTAGTTGTATGCAAAGGTTTGTGCACTTGTGGGTAATATTCATATTTTGTTGATTTATTTATTTTTTTATGTGAAAAGAGTGCACTCGAGTGCGTAGAAAAGCACTGTACAAGCACAAGTCCATTTACTCTTTACATCTTCCATAGCAGACATTAGAAATTGCTTTTCATCAAATGGTACTGTGCTGTATTTCAAAAACTTAAAAAAAAAAATAGAAGAAGTTTAACAGCAGTTGTGGCATATGCAAACGTTTGGGCAACCTGTCACCTTAAAACACTTTATACAAGCATCATTAATTCATTAGACTTTAACTTGTTAGGACCTATAAGGCAGGTCCAGAATTGTCATTATTAATCGTCAGCTTGTGTTCTAATAGAGTTTTCACTTATGATGTATTGATCATGGAGCTTCAAATCTGTGAATATCATCCCAACTTTACTAACATCTTGTTTAGCAGATATTTTGATAAATTACTCTTGCTGACTTTTTACCCGCAAAGGTTTTATTGCACATATGTTAACAAGCATAGGTGTTGTTAAACTGAGTAAGGTTTCATGTCACCAGGGCTGCCTCTCTCAAGGTCAAAGTGTTTATATGTCATATGCACAGTTAGGAAAAATCTTACTTTGCCATCCACATAAATGCCACACAATACAAATGAAATATAAACTAGATGAGTAAGTAACACAAGATCTAAAGCACTTTAAACAGCAAATGCAGAGATAATAACATTATATAAAAATATGATAAGACAGTGTATGCTGCATGTGCAGTAGTATCAATGTCCAATTATGCATGTGCAAACTGAGAATGTAACAGTACAGGTTGTCAGTACAGGTTGTCAGTACATGGCATATTTTCTGGTAATACCTCCTGTCAACTGTCTGATGGCAGAGGGAATAAGAGAGTTTTTCAGTTTAGAGGTCCTGCATTTCACACTCCTGAGCCTCCGGCCAGAGGGTAGTAGTGTAAACAGTCCATGCTGGAGGTGGGTGGGGG